AATAAAGCATGCCCTGGCACACTTTCTGCAGACAGACATTCCAGTGAGCAAAGCATACGTACAAATTTGTCTGACCTTTAAACTCTTAGAAGTATGTAATTAATTCTTTCTATCTTTATTATTTGTTCCAGTATTTCTGTCACTTTAAACAGAGACAAAGAAAAATGTTTTCTTTCCTCGAGACAACTTTTGCCAAAAAGGAAATCAAGTCAGATTTACAAATACAAAATTCAGCAGTATGTTCCATTTCCATACATGAAGACAATCTGGACAATGAAAATGTTTGCTCATACAACAGAATGGAAAGAAACAACATGCAGTTGGTCCGGGCAATTCATACCCAGATTGCCAGGCCTGATTACAGAGAACAAGCATCTTGTTTTTTATTTTGTATTCCATTTTAGTGCTGCCCCTTCCCAAATTGGGTGATCTTGCTCTGACCCTCAGCTTAAAGGTTTTACAAAGGAGTTGCTTATAGGAACAAAGGCAGAGGTTAAATACATAAAAATTTTATGTTTGCCTTCTCTTCTTTTTTTCTTGCTCTATCCATTTTACAGAACACAAGGAAATAAGCTAAATGCTGCCCCTTTTGATAAAGGACCAGCCATTTGGTGTATATTTTGGAGATATCACCAAAAAGTTAAAAACTACAGGCTTTTAAAAGCCTTCACATAAGAAAGAGTAGTGAACTTGGGAATGACTCTAACAAAAGCTGCTCACCATTCCCTTTGAGTGGAGCCACGTGAAGCCTAGGCAGCTTTGGGGAGCCCTCTGGGCCATGTTGGCTGTTCAAGGCAGTCCAGCTTCCCACCTTCTACACAGCAGAACTGTAGCTAGACTCTATTAGCTCACTCATTATATTAAACACTGTAAGGAAAACACAAAGGAAGGTAGTGCAAGAGCCTGAGTGACATAGATCTGTCCTGGATTCAGAAGTCCGCTTTATTGGCCTGAATGTTTGTTCCCTAGGAACCCTCCTTCCTCACTTCACAGCAAGGTCTGCTTTGCCATTGCTATTTGTGAGCTCAATTCTACGTGAATGAACACTGCTGGAAGAGGGGAGAAACAGAGAGGTAGGGTCCTTTCTTGTACCACCATATCTCTAGAGGATCGCTGGGTCCTGGTTTGGTCACTACTAGCAAGGAGCACTTCTCCAGATGCTGGGCAATATCTGAGATCCAACTTTTTATCTGGCTTTGGACATCAGTCAAAGATAGTCCTAGGGCTGCAATTTTAGTCACTAGAGTGCTTGCCCAGCAGGCACAAGGCTCTGGGTTTGATCCCTAGCACTATATAAACCGGGCATGCTATGGATCAGTTGTTCAAAGTCACCTCTGACTACTAACCAAGTTCTAGGTCAGCCTCTCCTGTTATTCCCACCCGCAGTCTCTCTTCTTCCCACAGTTCTGATACAACCACCCATCTTTACTGCTTGGTTTCAAAGTAGTTAGGAGTAAGCACCTTAGGCAACACACACTTACTCCGTAAAGTCAGTTAGAATCAGCAGCTAGTTTAGAAACTGATCCACCAATGCACCTGGGAAGCAGGCTGTTTCTGTTAGGAGTTCCTAATTTTCAAATTGGTAGAGAAATCAAGTTTCCCTCAAAGAGCAGCTCTATGTCCTAGGGTTTCCTGAGGCCTATGGGATTTGGGGGGGCTGGCTAGACACTGGCTTCACTTACAAGGTATATTAGAAGGCATCCAACTCCAAATTCATTTCCACAAAACATTCCAGTAGAGAATCATTTAGGTTTTTTTTTTCTTCTAATAAATGAAGTCTATTTTGCTATTGCCAACCCATGGCTAACTGAAGCAGGGTTACTTTTTTCACTTCTGTCAGATGAGGGTAGAAAATAATAAAAACACAATGTAAATAATTATAAAATCTAATAATTCATAATCTTTGCAGGATAGAATGAAAGGAAATTAAATTTAAATCTCCCTTCCCCCTGGTATTAATCTGCACAGTATCATTTTCTGAGGTCCATAGCCCTCCACTTCCAGGAGTCAACTATTAAATTTATAGGCTGAGCTTCAGAACTTAAGTATTTAATTTCAGCTCAATGAAAATCACATACACATACAAAAATCATATGCATTTATATGGAGACCTATATGTGATTGAACTAAAAGAAAAATTAATGTATAAATACACACATTCTATAAACATGTATGCACATTTTATAAATATGCATGTGCTTAGGTCACTACCAATTCTGGTTTCATGCCCCTCACACCACCCAGCTAGCCCTCACTGGACAGAAGTGAAAGGAAATCAGCCTGTTAGAAAGAACCAGAAGCTGACCAACAAACCCAGCCATCCCTACTACCTCTGCATCGCCTATGGCAACCTTCACACTATAATGGAGTGTTGCTACAGAAACAGTATGACACACAGGCCTAAGACCTTTACTGTATGGCCTTCACAGGAGGTCTGCTAATGTCTGGGGTAAGGGGGAATGTGGAGGCTGCATATGCCAGCAGCCAGAGCTATTTAACATCACTAATGGATCAGCAAAGGTCAAATTCATCACTGCAAGCAGATGCAAAGTTTGCTAAACAGAAAGACGGTGTGAGAACTCAGAGCACATAGGGTGCTTTACTGGGGGCAGGCTATCTCTGTAAAATGTATGCTCTTTGGTGTCAGAAGCATGTGTGCTCAGGTACCAGAAGGCCCACCTTTGTGTAGATCAGTCAGCAAAAGCAGGAACCACACCTGTCCTGCCTTACTGGGGATGGAAAGAAGGTGACAGAAGAGAGGGCTCTGCTCTAGGTATAAGACTTTCAGTTTTGTAACTAGAAAGTCCTGGGCAGAACAACAGGAATTAGTCATGCTAGCAACAAGTATGATGGGACAAATACACACAACAATTTTCTAGTAGAGAAGGTTTGCAATTGGGGATACATTATAAATCATTAAATTAAATTAATGTGCTGGTAATTAAAAGTACCATTCATTCTTTAAAGGAAAATAATATGGCAATCACATTTCCAAGACTCAAGTTGGCAAGTAAGACATTTAACTCTCACTAAACCCAGAATCAACTTATTTTCAACAAAACACTGGCATCAAGATTGTTAAATTTAAATTAACACTACCACTTACTTGTATTTAGTGTCATGTTTTAGGTTGTGTAAAATAAGGAATTTATAGTTAAATCCTTATAGAATTTTATAGCTAAAGTTTTATATTTGTATGCATTCAAGTGATACTATATTAAAACTAATCTGGGGAAACAGTGAGGCTTAACAATGAGCCTGAGTTTATGAGAATTTATGACTTAGGTTAAGAACATTCCTGTTGTCTAGATTTGATAGGTGAGAAACTAAGGCACAACAACGTAAAGTGGCCAATGAAGTTTAGAGTCTCTAAGTTCAGAAGGCAACTCAGGGCTTCCTGATACTCAAGGTATAGGCACAGACCTGAAGATTCACCTGTACCTTCTCCACAAAGTCCTCTACTGTGCCAAGGACATAACAACTTAGTCACACTGTTCCCTTTCAAGTCTTCAGGAAGCAGATGGTCTTGTTCTCTGAGGATGTCTCTTCCTAAGAGGGCATCAATGCCCCCACCTGCCATGTTCAGTGAAAGTTACTCCATTGGGCCTTTTGGTCTATACGACACTGACTGAATAGGGGAAGGGGCAGAGAAATGCAGCAGCAGCAGCAAACTTATCAAGGGTTCATGTGTCCAGTTTTATTACGAAGGCGGATTCACTGGACAACTTCTTAATTATCTTAAAAACTGTGTAGTTTAAAATTATTCTAAGTATTCTATAAAGCTGCTGGTTTTGTACTTCAGAAATGAAAATGTGGGGGAAAATGCTGTTATATAGATCAAACCTGACCTGAGAGGAGAGGAGAGGTGTCTACTGGGGAAGCTGGAGACTGCTTCCAGCTCATTTCAGACGCCCACTGTTTGTTCCTGCTCAAGAAGAGAAAGATCCAGAATGCTCATATAGCTTATGCTACACAGTCCCATTTTCCTAAGTCTCAAAGGAATCTGTTTTAAAGGGACAGGAGAAGGTTCTTCAAGGCAATCCCTCATTAGGATCATGAATTTGCAGGTCTCAAACAGCAGGGGGTGCCAAAGGGATCATTATTAATCCCAGGAGATGGCTAGGAGAGGGAGTGCAGTGGCCTAGGTTAGAAACTTTGGTTAGACTAAGTGTGTGGGATCACCCTCCGCTACTGGGACTCAGCAGCTCTGTGGACTCAAATGAACAAAGATGAATCTTCATCTCCACATGCAATTAGCATTCCCCTGCATGGAAAGTGGAGGCAACACATCACAGCAAGGCGAGCCATGCGGGTGCTGTTCATGATCATCTTAGCTAACAGTACTGTTTACTACAACGGGTGCAGAGTCCTGAAACAGCACTTGAGACTCATCACTGCTCTCGGGCTTTAAGAGCGATAGCTAGGTAATCTACAGGAAAATCTAGATGTATCACAGATCTGTTTAATGATCTGCTGACTTTCAATGTCGGAGATATATTCCAATGAATTTTATTTTATGTATGTGCACACACTTTTCTGAGCAGGTGTTTTCTAGGCTTCACCAGACTGACAAAGGCACAGAAAAGGCTAAGCATAGTCTAAGGGAAGGCAACTGAGGAAAAATCAAATTGGATTTGAGCCAGTTGGAGAGAAAAGGTTTTCTTAAGTCACAACAGAAAAATGAAAAGCATGCATTTTCATTTCCTTGACTAGAAAGAGGCAAACCCAAATGTTGCTTCCCAGGCTCCTTGTCACCACTGCTCCCAGAGGCCATATGTAGACATGCTATTCCTAGATCTACCTCACAGTCTGTACTTGCTGTACATGCCCTTAGGTGCAGAAGCATGAAACAGCAATGCACATGTTCCCAAATCATTTCTGCAAGTAGTCATGTGAGCAGGTGTTCTAGGTACCACACATAATTCAACTGATGAACAAAACCAGTACCATATGCAAAATGCTAGAAGGCCAGGGTGAGAAAAATAACAGGTAGTACTCACATTCGAACAAAGAGTGACTCTTTGGATGTCAGACCAGGAGATGAATACTTTTCAACCAGGGCCAAAGTACTGAAGCCAAACTTATGAATGGGCTCATTGGAATCCAGCGGTGGAAAATCTGTGTCTACCTCCCCATCATCTTCAGCAATATGCAGGCAGTAGGCACTGACGTTGTCACTGAAAGGAAAACCATAAAGGCAAATGAGTACCATAGGAAAGGGAATGCAGACCAGACGGCACGGAGCCCAGCCCACATCCTGCTGCTCTCTATCCTCAGCCTGGGATACACTGAGAACCCCTAACTCCAATTCGTTGATAAGGAGAAAACACTTGGCAATATAACAGGTGTCCTCACATTGTGATATTTTTCCCAACACCAACTTGACACCTGTTAAGAGATAAGACCTAGAATTCAATCCTTGAGATGAAAAATGAGATTTAATGTCAGCCTTATATAGCTGGGCACTGGTGGTGCACACCTTTAATCCCAGCACTCAGGAGGCAGAGACAGGCGGATCTCTGTGAGTTCCAGGACAGCCAGACTTAGAGAAACCCTGTCTCAAAAAACAAAACCCAATCAAACAAAACTAAAAACAAACCCAGAAACTCACAATACAGGAGGGGAGGAAGCACTACAGCATCTCTAAGATCACAGTCACAAACAAAGGAGGAGGACTGGGGGGGGGGGTGCGGCTTTGATGCACAAGTAAGGCTGGTAACCAAGACCAGCCACACAGCACTCCTTCCTTAAAGAGTAACTGACTCTACGGAGGATCCGACTCTAAACACCACAGACCCTTGGTGGAGACAAAGTCAACGGCCTGACTTACCCGGACACTCACACCCAGTCCTTCCGAACGCTTCTGGACATGGTCAGGTTCTCTACCACGTCTCGCCAGAACTTTCAGATTCTAGCCTTGTCCTTTACAATCAACAAATACCCATCCCCTTGAGGGACAACAAAATGGCAATTTGCTCTTAATGACTAGTTTTCAGATTTAAAAGCTGAAATCAGGGCTGGGGGTGTAATTGGTAGTGTTTGTCTAGCATGCATAAAGTTCTGGGTTCAATCCCTAGCACTGTATAAATCCCAGAACTCAGAAGGAAGAGGCAGGAGGATCACGAGTTCAAGGTTATCCTTGGCCATATAGCTAGCCTGGGACACACGAGACAATGAGAATATGCAAATTTAGTAAGTAAATAAACGAATGCTGAAATCAGTGTAAATATTTTAAGACAGCAAGCTCCAGAATGGACTGGGAAATCGGAAACCTGCTAGCATTTAGGCAAGCTGGTTTCAGGAGCATAATCTAACAGTTCAGAAAGGAGGAGAATTTTAAATTCTACAGCTAAAATTTGGTATTTTAATTACGTGATTGATGCTTTAATTAATTAATTGCAAAGTGTATGCTAATTGTTTAATTGGTTCCTTGATCTATATAGATCATTTTTTGAATTAAATGAGTTGATTTACAAAGTTTATTGATTGGATGTGACAAGGAATTATTGCACTGACTACCTGATTTGCAATTTTCCCAGTTAATTCACAATCTTTAGCTGCAAACCTGCTTATTGAGAGAGTCTACTTCAGGTAATTTACACTCAGTGTGTCTATCAAGGCTGAGAAGTATTTATTATATAAAACAAGTAATAGGGACAGATGAAAATTAATGGAAACTATAAATCTGCTAAATGGATTGATAACAAGAAAGTAATCTGGCCATGTCTGTCACTTTACATTTCATGTGTTTGCAATATTGGTAAGAAATATAAAATTTTTGTCTGAGCAAGCTGTCAACTTAACCACAAAGTAAGTGCTGAAACAGATGTTCTTTAGAATAGGAAAATGCCATAGGAGAGTGCCAACTCAGAGCTTTGCACTCAGAGACCCAAGTTCAAATTTTAGCTCCATGGCTTTTGGGCTATGTGATTTCCGAATAAGCTGCACCTTGGCTTTCAGTTTCCACATCCATAATGAGGCCATAATGTCCTAACTCAGGGTTAGGTTGGGTGATGTATGGAAAGCCTAGCACACAGAAGCAGAACAGCAATGTGAGGTAACTGCAGTAAGGTCAGATGGGGACCAGCTGGGAGAGTGCTGTTAGTCCTTCAGTTATGGATGCATAGCGAGCAACAGGGCAGCGGTGACCATGGCAGCTCCTTCCAGGCAGGTGGGTCTCTCAGTCTCATTGGGGCTGCTGTGCCTCTAGGGCTGTATGAGTAAGGCAGATTCGGATGGGTTATGTAATGGACAGCACTGACTATTTACTGCCATGTAAATTAATCTAAGAAATGTCTGCGATTCCCCAGCACCACAGAGGTTCAAGGGCAAATAGTAAGCCTAGTGATCAAAGCAGAAAGCCCAATACTGATAGAAGAATCCTGCTTTGATTATCATGGAATGCTCCTGAGTCCCCCGAAAAAACAAATTCAACAAATACTACAAGCTGAGAGTAAACCAAAGGGTTTAACTAACCAATTCGGAAACATAAACTGCCAAGTAACCTATTCAAAGGCATTTGCATAGTATTTACTTTGTGCAATGCTCTGTCCTAAGAAAGACTCCTCTTGTATTACAAGAGGAGTGAGGTCATCAGCAGAGCTCTAAGCTCTCAACTGAAAAATCCAAGGAGATGGTGACTAAACATGCCACTCTCTATGCACAGGCCCACTGGTTCCCTTGTGCCTCTGCAAAACAACCATCCTGTAACAGAAGCTACTGCTGTGTTTTCACCTGTGAAAATGCTTAGGACTCCACAGTAAGTGCTCCTCGGACGAGACAATGGCATTGGCTGTGTGCACTGGGTACTGTGTACCACATTGGGCAAACAGGCCTGAACCCATCCACTGAATTTGATTTTCAACTCAGTGAAGTCAGTCATTGTTTCTATTTTATACATTAAGAAACTGAGGCTTACTGAGGCTAAGTGGCTTGTTCTGCATTTGATGGCACAAAATGACAGATCTGACACTCAAACCTAGGCAGCCAAGAATTCCTTGATCCCACTAATTTTCTGGCCAAAGTCATGCATGTTAAGACTTCTCAAGGTGCTTAGGGACCCATGCTCACTTGGAGTCTCAAGAGAAGGAACCATTACACATTAACTTTTGTTTTGTTTGTTTGTTTGTTTTTAGGAACTTAGATTTATGTGACCCTCCTCAAATCTACAGCAGGGGAATGGAGACAAAGAGGAGAAACAAGCTCCTGATGACCCAGTTCATAGACAGAGCTAGTCTAGAGAATGAAGACCTTCTCAGGTGCCTTTATTCTTCAACTTACTGATCAAATCAGAAATTGGTGGTGCTTTGAAATGGTGGGGGGGTGGGGGACGACGACACACAGCTCTGGTTCCTGTCAATAAATTCTACAAATCCCAATGCTAGAGCTTTCTACACAGGGAAATAAGGGCTCCTTCCTACAGCTCCATCCTGGATGAATGACATCTGGCCTTAGTGTAATTTAAACCACTAAACAAATCCCTCTGAGCTCCATCTTGTGTAAAAAAGGTTTTCTTGATTTCTCTACAATCACTTGTATCTCTGACAGATCCAAGTCAATCTAGCTTTCCGGCTTTCTTGGTCACCATTTCTGCACATCCTTGGTCACACAGCTCCTTTTCCTATTTATGCATCTACTCTCCCAATGAGCATGGGCTCTTCTAAGCCTCTTCATGCTTACTGAAGAGTAAAATGGCTGGCACTTAGATGGTACTTAACAAATATTTGTTAAATGGATGAGTACATGAATATGTAGATGGAATCACTCTGAACAAAAGTAAAAGATAATAGAAATGTTAAAATGCTAACAGAAGAAGGAAGGCAAATGAGGCACTCTGGGCATCACACATCAGACACTGCAAGCTTCAGACAAGGGAGAAGGCTGCAGGCAAGGTGGTCCAGGTGAAAGGGGGGTTTCTTTTCAGACAGGTCTCATGCAGTCCAAGCAGGCCCTAAACTTTTTATGTAGCAAAGTGGGCCTTAAGCTCCCACCTCTCCTGCCTCTGCCACCAATGCTGACACTGCAAGCATGTGCTACTACATGCTCGGCTTATCAAAGAGGGAGGATATACCACCACAACGGCTTCTCAAAGAGTGAAGCATGTGCAACCATTAATGGCTTTTCAAAGGGAAGGGGGTATGTACCACCAGGCATGGCTTTTCAAGGGGGGGGGATGTGTCACCATGAATAGCTTGGGGAGGTATTTCTACAGTCCTTTCAAGATATGAGTACTGGCATCCCATTTTTTGATGGATAAAAAAAATGAGTAATGATTGCAGCTATATAAAAAATGTAATTGTGTTCACAAAGACTATAAATAATTGTATAAAAGGTTTTCAAAGGCTATGGAAACATCTGTCACATGGGGATTTTCTTTCTACTTCCTGTACTTCCCCAATGTCCTGCTCTCATTTTCCTTAGAATTAGGAACAACTCTGAGATGGGCTAACTTCCCAACCCTGGCCTCAGTGCTGAAGCCACAGATGTGGTTCACTATCCTGGGGTAACTTATTTCTCAGCATAGCCACAGGTTATAAGTGCCCACTGTACTATGAAAGTGTGGAATTACAAAGGAAATAATCCTATCTGCTGCACTAGTGTCTTACAAAGATTAAATGACATATTCTTTGCAAAATATCTAGCATGAAAAAGGATTCTCATTTTGCCAAGATTTCTTTGACAAGTCTTTGTCTTCTGATTACAGTGAGGCACAAAGAGCATGAGGCAGGGAAGCCCTAAATTCCTGTCTGACTGGACCCAAGAACACAATAATCTAGACTAACAAGAATGAAGAGGGAGACAGGAGGCTTAGTTTTAACAATAGGTAGGCCCGGAAGGACAGACAACCACACCGTAAGCAGATGAACACTGAACAGGAATAAAATGGAGCCTGTGGTCAAAGAGAGCCTTGAGGCAGAAAGGATGGAGACCTGGAATCAAACTTTCAGTGAATATAGCAATTTGGTTTCACTTCTTTATGTATCATCAACCGATGTAAGTTTTTTTCATTGGGAGAATGTATTTCACTAAACTGACCAATATTCATACTGTTCAAAGGCTGGTGTGGCTTTAAAGAAGTGATAGAAGTCCACAGCCTATATATAGACAGTATTTAATTCATTCATAAAAACTTCAGGAGCATTCCAGGAAACATTCAGATTTTTACCAGATTTCATCGGGCATGTTCAATTTACATGCTCATAAAAATGCACCCATCTTTTGGAGATGCAGGAAAAATAAATCCTTTAAAGTGTGATGACCACAAGCAAAGACTTACTGTTGTTCTGTTTTGCTTTTAATGAAAAAAAGAAAACACACTATTCTGAAATGTCCAGAACTGTCCATATCAGGGCTCTGGCCTTTACTGTGGTGGCAGAGTCTAATGCCCAGAGTCTGCTGGGCATTAGTAAGAGGAAAGTGGAGGATACTACATGGTTGTAGCTTGGAGGTTGATCTCTCCAGTCACAAGGAAAAAACATTAAGACTTCTATTAAGGTTTCTATTTCTCCACATCCTACATAAAACGAATAGTCAAAACTGATAATCAACTAAGGTTCAAGCACAGCAACCTCACACAGGAGTGGCTCTATTTCCCTAGAATAGCGGTTCTAGAAAGAAAACACCTGCTGGCTGCTAACTAGAAGCTCGGCTTTTTTTTTTTTTGCAGCTATCTGGTGCCCTCAGGGAGCGTCTGTGGTAGTCTTCAAACCTTACTCCATTTTCATCATGTTCCTGTACAGAGCTTTGTTGTCTTGAACAAGTTTATAATAATTGTATTAATTCTTATTTGCGAATTCTATCATTTCTGGAAAGTCCTGTGTGCTATTCTAAATAAGACAATCTTCCAGCCAGGTGGTGGTGGTGGCGGCGGCGGCGCACGCCTTTAATCCCAGCACTCGGGAGGCAGAGGCAGGCGGATCTCTGTGAGTTTGAGGCCAGGCTGGACAGACAGCCTCCAAAACAATACAGAGAAACCCTGTCTCGTAAAACCAAAAAAAAAAAAAAAAAAAAAAAAAAAAGATAATCTTCCAAACAAATTTACAGAATTGGCAGGATTCTGACCTTCACAAAGCTATAACCTTTTATGAACACTTCCTGTAGACATTCTTTCAGTCTCACTACCAGCAGGATGTTCAGAAACATAAATGTGGTATTGTCACCTGCTTAATATCTTTCCCTACCTTTAGGAAAAAAGCAAAAGAATCTGCCCTCAATGGGCGTTGGTGGCGCACTCCTTTAATCCCAGCACTGGGGAGGCAGAGGCAGGAGGATTTCTATGAGTTTGAGGCCAGCCTGGTCTACAGAGTGAGTTCCAGGACAGCCTCCAAAACAATACAGGAAAACCCTGTGTGTGTGTGTGGGGGGGGGATCTGCCTTCAACAACACCTTTCACAGTGTTCTGCTGCCTTCCAAGCTCACATCTTTCCTGCCTTCTATTACAGAGCACACACCTGGGGCTTAGCCACACCCACACCAGATGACATATCAATCTGACCGCCGTGTGGGACTATCAGCCTGGAGGTGCCATGTTTTTGATGGTAAGGTCACTAAGAGTTAGCTCAAGTCTTGTTTTTGCTGGTAAGGCTTCCCTGACTTCCTCCCACTCCAGAGCAACACAGAGCTCCAGACAGAACTCAAAAGGCTTATTCCCATGTCCCTAGAACTCTGGATGCTCACTGTTCTCAAAGTTTCAATGATAATGAAGTGAGCATGTATGATTTGGTATCTGTCTAAACCTTGAGACCACAGATTATGATTACTTGTACTCCAGTGTCTAGCACAGGGTCTGGGATAGCGTTGACAGTATGTAATGTTTGAGGGAAAGCAGGGAGGTGGGGAGGGATGGCAGAGTCTCTACTATGAGTATGGCTACAGCATCTGCTCAAGATGCTGCTCAGAAGTGCCTCATAGCCAGGCGCTGGTATACACACCTTTAATCCCACCACTCAGGAGGCAGAGGCAGGCAGATTTCTGTGAGTTCGAGGCCAGCCAGGACAGCCAGAGATACACAGAGAAACCCTGTCTTGAAAAACCACCAAACAAGGAGAAGGAAGAACAAAGAAGAGAAGGAAGAGGGGGAGCAGCTGCCACAGCTTCATTTCTTTGTACAGAAAGTTACGAGCAAGGGAAACAGGTAGCTCAAGTTCAAATCTTAACTTAGGACCCGCAGCCATCCCCCCCCACTCTGTCATTTAATAAAACACATGGGAATTTGAGAAAGTACTTAACCCCTTCCTAATCCTCAGTTTCTCTCTGATGAAAACATTCTTTATGACTTCCAAAGCTACCACAAGAAATAAGACAACAAACTAAGTGCTTTAGCATACAGTGGGACACCCTGGCAGTCTGTAACTACGAGCATGGGCTTGCTTTCTCTTCTGCTCAGCAACTACATGCCATTTAAATCAGAACATGCAAGACTGAAAGATGGCTCAGCGGTTAAGAGCACTGGTTCCTCCTCCGGGGGACTTGCATCCTAGTTCTAGCACTATACAGCAGCTCAGAACTCCATGACACTCCAGTCCCAGGGGATCCTATACTCTACTCTGGCCTTTGTGGGCACCAAGTATGTAAGTGATATACCGACATACATACAGTTAAAACACCCAGACACATAAAATTAAAAAAATAAAATGGGGAAAATGGTAGAGGGCTCTAATTAGGGGGAGGAAAGAAGAGGGTAAAATAACAGTAAAGAATGTCTGGAAAAATCGTAAGAAATCATACTACTATCTACCTAAAAATAATTATACTTCACTTACGTTACTAGATAAATACACATGTATAGTTTAAATGAAATTTTCTTGCCTGGGCTGACAATGCTCCTTCCCTTCACTTTATAAAACCATCATAATTCCTAACAATATTGTTAATATTTGTCTAATTCCCACAGATAAGTGTAGTCCTGACCAACAAAAATTTTCTTTTCAACAGATAGAGATCATTGCAGAAAACCAGAACCAATCAAAATGCATACTTGTGGAGCCCAGTCCCAAAGATATAGTCCTGCACCTAAGGCTTGGGGATTACTGCTGAAGAGGGCAAGAAAGGCTGTAAGACGTGATCAGGGATTTTGCTGTGAGATTGTCAGAATGTCAGAAGCTAGTCTCCACGACTGCCTGAACATGAACTGAACAAGGAAGATACCAACAGACATGGCAAAATAGACGGGAGGAAGGAGAAGACCTCAACCCCACAAAGAGCTACAGGCATCTAAGGAACTAAGGAATGATGAGAATAAGACAAATGCAGTCTTGCCCAGGGAAGACCACATCAACTGGTTATCCAAAACCAAATAGTCATCCCTAAAAATTAATATACAAGTAACATTATACAAACTGAGCAGGTTGAATTTATGTATTTAGGAACACATGCACATGCCGGGAGTTGGTGGCACACACTTTTAATCCTAGGACTCGGAGGCAGAGGCAGGAGGATCTCTCTGAGTTCGAGGCCAGACTGGTCTACGGAGTAAGTTCCCGGACAGCCTCCAAAACAATACAGAGAAACCCTGTCTTGAAACTCCCACCCCCCAAAAAAAGAATGCATGTACATACAACAACAGTATAAGAACAAAGAGGCCATGGATTTGAGAGAGAGCAAAGGGGAGGGGTGGTGCTAAGGGAGGTTTTATAAGGAGAAAAGGGGCTGAGTGGTGGTGGTGCATGCCTTTAATCCCAGCACTCAGGAGGCAGACAGGTGAATCTCTGTGAGTTCAAGTTCACCCTGGTCTACAGAGTGAGTTCTAGGACAGTCAAGGCTGCACAGAGAAACCTTGTCTCGAAAAACAAAAACAAAACCAAAAAAACAAAACAACAACAAACAAAGGAGAAAAGGGAAGGGGGAATGAAGCTATTGTATTATAATCTCAAACAATAATTTTATAAAACTAAAATAATAGTAATAAATAAAGCAGGACATCAGCAGGTTGAGACCAGTCAGCTTGGTAGTTTCTGGTGAGTAAAGGTCTGTGATACGGCAGAAGCTTGCCCTATCAGACACCTAGAGAAGGCATCCCTTGCATGGCAGGGTTGATCCATCTGTCCAGATGTGAACAGTGCAGACTCCAGCTCACCCCCATGCTGCTGCTCTTGCTTCTCTCGGATGGTCCCTGAGTAAGCTCAGCCTTTACCTCTCAAGCTAAGCTATCCATTTGACCCGCTTCTGACCCTCTTTGTTTTCTGAGACCCCTCTGTTTCAACACAGCTCTTCATCGGTCACTTTAAAGGCCTTTTTCTTTTCACTAACTCATGCTGGAGGCTCCCAGATTCGCACTGCCAGTTTGTCTCTCTCCTCTGTACTCCAGCAAACTCCCTGTCCCTGTGAAAGCCATACAAGACAGACTCCTCCAAGGCTTCCTATGTCGGCACAGGGCAACACAGCACATAGGCCACCAAATCAGCTTCGGCACATTCTCTCCCAGAGGTACCTCACCTCCACATTCTGGGAGTCTTCCATCAAACAGTCTAGACTCTGTCCACTTCTCTTAGTCTTATCCATTCTCTTCTTCAAACCTTTCTTTGTGCTCCAGGCAGACTAACCCCCAGCTTCCTCCTGCCTTAGGTCTGATGCCACACTACTCCATCTGCAGGCCTCCAAGGGCTTCTGCTGCCATTCCCAGGGAATCTCTCCTGAGTTCAGGCTAGGCACTCATGAATGGTGTCCTTTCCTTCAAAGCACCTGGCTTCATTATCTGAAAACTTGTAAGTTATCTGCCTGCTTCCTTTCTGAGACTGTTGAATTCGTGAAAGAGAGACCATGTCTACTGTACTCAGCACTTGTAGAGCAGCAGAATACCTGAGACATAGCAAACACTCAGTGAAGGTTGGTGAAATGCATGGATGAATACAAATGATAAGTGAAATGAGCCAGATACAAAGTGCTATTACACTTGATAATTTCTTCTACCCAACACACTATAAGCTTTTGAGTGAAGTGATGGCATTTCTCTTGTTCTTCATTTTATCCTTCTTTCATATCTAGGGCCTAGGACTCCAAAAATACCTTCTGAAGGAATGCAGGGCAAAATCTTTAGATGCCAGTGGCTGCCAAAGGTGAGGAGTAGAGATGCATAGGTGGTGCACAGGGCCTGCAGATTAAGCAGGCTATCAAGAGAAGACTGTATACTAATAAATACATGACCCACAGACTGATAGCAGGGTTCAAGTTTCAAGCCGAAGATCAGAAAAGCAAAGCACCTGACCACTAACTCTCACCTCTAGCTCAGACTGAAAGGGCTGATCCATACACAAGCTCTTCACCAACTCTTGAACTGCTGCCTTTCCTCAGTGTGGCTGCAGAATGGATGCCTCATACTGAGACCTTGCTTCTGTCTTATATTCTTCCCTAATGTTGGGATTAAAGGTGTGCGCTATAATTCTCTTTTAGACTGATTCACTCTTGTGTAGATCCGGGTGGCCTTGGACTCACAGAGAGCCATCTACCTCTTAATTCTGAGTCCTAGGATTAGAGGTGTGTACCACCACTCCTAGCTTCTGGCTACTGGGATTAAAGCCTGGCTTCTATAGCTTGTGGCTGACTTTGCTTTCTGAAACCTCAGGCAAGCTTTAATAAACCATAAGTAGTATATCACCACAGAAGGCAGAAAGGCATACCTAACTATAGGAACATATAAGTTATGGTTGCCAGTTTAAAATGGGAAAGCTGGTTGTGAAAAATGGGAAGGGCTGCTTAAGTTAATAATATATTTAAGCAAATGGTTCTTAAAGACAACTCTAAGGACATAAAGTGGAAGTGGTAACCTATGAAGGGAAGAAGAATAGAGGGAGGTGTGCACTCAGTGTGAGAAGACACAGATAAAGAATGTACCAAAGACAGCAAACAGCAAAGCTAGCTGGAAACATCAAGAAAAGTTCAAATTGCCTAAATACTGCAACTCATTTATGCAATATCAGAGTATCGCAGCAATAAGAGAACACTAAATCATACTCCTGTGTTGAATGACTGTTAGAAAATAGTAAGTATAGGTGGCTGTAGTAATGGTGTGTAGTAGCAACAGAAACACATTTGCCATGGATTTTCTCATCTTTTGTTTTGTTTTGCAATAATCTGTTATAGTGTGAACCACATTTCACACACAAGAACACTATCCTGCTTGGAATGTTAGGTAACACATTCAAGAACACCCTGCTCCAGTAACACCAGATTAAAAACCAAGGCTACGACTTTGTACTCTGCACTTTTAACTACTATACTGCACTCTGACAAAGAGGACAGACAAAGATGCTAATATGTTTCTGAGCATCTGTGAAAAATGATGTTTGATAATTAATGAGATAAACTCCTGACTATATAAAACCACCAACTTGTAAAGGGCTGTAGATAGCCAACATTGAGTAGAGTGAAGTACGTCTACCTTAGGATGGTGGTCTGTACCACTTGACTAGACCACAGCTTGGCATATTTGGCACTGTCCAATTACAAGCCACAAGTGGCTACTATATATTTCTCAAATGGCCTGTCTGAGTAGAGTCTAATTTAAACTGCCCGCAAATGAACACCAGATATTAAAGATTTACAACCACAAGATTTATAAGTGTGTATTTTGTATATAAAAGTTTTTATAATGGTGAAAGATTTTTTTTTTCTTTTTAAAGACAGGGCCTCATGTAGCTTACACTGGTCTGCAAATCCCTGTGTCATCAAGAATGGCTCTTGAACTCTTGATCCTTCCATTTCTGCCTCCCAAGGGTTGGGATCACATGGGATCACAGGCATTTGCCATCACGCCTGATTTTATGGAGAGCAAGAGACAGAACTCAGGACTCCCTTTCATGTTAGGCAAGCAAGCTCCCAACTGAGCCACACCTCTATATCACCTGAACGCTGAAATGATACTGTTTTGGATACAACAAAATTATTTTAAAATTTAAGTTCATCTTATGCTAATTTTAAAACTGTGCCTACCAGAAAATTTGAAATGACCAACATTCCTCACACTTTCAGCTTACTTTTTACTTCTGTTGAACACTGTGGCTGTAACTTGACAATTCCATTACTGGGCATGGCAGTAATCTCCAAAAGCACACTACTACTACAGGACTACAGCAAACTCTTCAGGCTTTTAGTAGCTCACCTATCAGTAGTCTGATAAACATCAACAGTAGATAAGACACCTGAGAAACAATGAGTGTCTAAGGGACCACAGAAAAAGGCAGGAAGGTGGGGGGTGCTCTTGTGCACACAAGAGTCATGATATATGACCAAAGTCTACATAAAAAATGGGAATTCAAAATTGCCCCAGAAAAATCCTTCAATTATCTACAAAGCAGAGCAAATGTGGCTAGGTGTGAAGAGCTAGTGTGTATCTCAGGCTTCTGATAGGGTAAACCTCATTGAGCTTTCTTTTTCTTGCACAAACGAGTGTTGCTCGAAAGATATTGCTCCATTCTTGGTTCTAATAGAGAAAGATAAATTAAGGGATGTTTTAGCAGATCTTACAGGTCAGGGGCAGTCAGCTGAGCTTCAGCATGGTGGCAGAGACAGTCTAACGAAAAACAGTCATTTCACAAATGGTGCTGGAGCAACAAGCTATCCACAAACTCCAGGCTGAATCCAAGGCATATTCTTTTCTCTGTTGCCTTCTTGCAGGACTGAGGATTGAACCCAGGACCCCCACTCCTTGAGCATGTTAGGGAAGTGCTCTACCAAGGAGATATCCCAGTCCAGGATCATCGATGTAAACATAGAGCACATAGTCATACAACTTCTAGAAGGAAATGCAGTAGAAAAATGTAGGAGACCCTGGATATATGAGGGCCTTTTAGATACAACTCCAGGACTTGACAGACAGATCAGGGTGCTCACCAAGCCTGAGGACCTGAATTTGATCCCTGGAATCCATATGGTACAGAGAGAAAACTGACTTCCCCAAGTTGTCCTCTGACCTCTACATGGATGATGTGACATATATACACGACACATGTACACATGCACATATATACACCCAAACATAAAAATTAAACAAAATGGAAAGAACACCAAAAGTGGCATCTATGAAAGAAAGAACACGTAAGCAGATATCCACTAACATTTAGAACATCTGCCCTGGAGAGACACTATTAAAAGGAGGGAAAGACAAACACACATTGGGAAGAAAGTCTTTGCAAAACATCTGACAAAGGAATTGCATCTAAAAATACAAAAATTCTTTTTTTAAAAGAATTCTTAAAACTCAACAATAAGAAAACAACTTAATTTCAAAATGAGCAAAAAAAAAAAAAAAATCTTAACAGCTCATCCAAGCAGCCAAACAGCAACCAAGTATAAAATGCTCAGATCATCCATTAGAGGATTGTAAGTTAGCACACAGGATAACCACT